AGAGACACGAGTCTTGCTGCACGGTTCGTTCCATTGCCGTCTCTCCAGCTGCCACAAAATAGCTGGTATCCCATGATATCATCCACGAGATTCGTCACATTTTCACCTCTAAGCTCTTTCAGTGTACAAAGTAACCCTAGACGATGTCAATGCCTGAACAGCACAACAGGAAGGCCCAGGAGAGAGTGTGGGAGGCAGAAGTAAAGAGAAGAGACACCCCCTGCAGGAAGGACTTAAGGGCAAGCCGGTCCTTGCAGTGGATGCTGGGAAAAGAGCAGACTACGGCGGAAACAAGTACTGAAGGGTCCAGGATAGAGGAGCAGACTGCATCCCTGTCCCGTCCGTCCCCCCTCCCCACCGAGCTCTGGAGATCCGCTCTTCTCCAGTGATTTCATAATTGTACCTTATAAAACAGGATACCCTCCGTTCGAATCTCATGCCACTATTTCAGCTGTTTTAGCGGGAGAAACACAGAGTGCAATCATTCCCTTCAATAGGAGTGGGGTGGGTAGAAATTCCCTTTCATTTCAGTAAATGTGTGCAGGGAAGAGGAGGGAGGAGGACATTACTGCCTGCTGGGCTTCAAATAAAGCTCGGTTTATGTTCCCTTAGAGCTGACTTTCAGAAGGAAAAAAAAAGAGAGAGAGAGAGAAAACATGTAGTGACCCTCAAAACAACCCGAAAAGGGATACAGGGAGGCTTCATAATTGATCAGTTCACTTGGAGACAGCAAAGGGGCTTAAATCCTCTACATACAAAGCGGCCTACAGGGAAAGCATTATCCCTCCCCCAGGCCTTGCCCCACGCCCCAATCAGTGCTTTCTGTTCCACGCAGAACTGTGTTTTCACATCTATTGTTGCGAATGGCTGGGGCCACCAGAAGCCAGAGAGTCCAGTTTCTGACTCAGCTGGAGAGCCGGTTGGTGGAGAGCTGGGGGCACCTGCCCTGAGGAGTGGCGCTCTTTCAGGGCTCTGGCTGGCTCACAGTCCTCTGAGCAAAGAATGCAAACCCCACGGCGCCGGCAAAATCGGCTGTGATTAAACCTTGGCTGAACTTTCCCCCCACAAAACATGGTATCACATAAAGTACCCACAAAATCAGGAGTATTTTGGGAAAACAATCATTCACTTGTTCAACCAAGAAAAGGTTTCGAGATCTAATTGTTACCTGCAGTGCACACCACACAAAGATTGCTGGCTACCAGACAGGGTTGTATAAATAGCATGACAAACAGCTTCACATTTCAATTACCCCATGTTCATCTGTGCATAGAATAAAGAGGCAATTTCGCAAAGGAGAAACCACAGGGAATACATTGGACTGACAACTGCCTGGAATTCAATTTGCCAAAGTGATATTGAAATATAGGAAAGAAGTCACGGCGTGCTGATTAAGTTTCAAGCCGCCGTCTTACTAATACCATCTCATGAACCTGTTTGCTCCAGCATTACCATAGCAACATAGCATCATATCAACCCTGAAAACAGGCTACGCCACAAACTGTTCCTTTACATTTGTGATAAACACGGGAAAAGTCAGGGGCGTTATTACATCAGGACTCTCGCAGAGTCTGACATCCAAAAAAAAATTACAAAGAGCAGAAAATACTCTTTTTATATACCTTTAAGTTATTTGACATACATAAACATAATGGAAAGATTCATGGATAGGAGAGTCAAATATTCATCTAATAAGAAATAAACATGGAAAATATGCCTTACTGTAGCCCAGGTGGTATTTTAATTTATCCAAATTATCTAATGGGAAAAAAATACTGCATTGTATGGTATTTGAAGGAAAGAAGGGCCATGCACATGCGCACACGCACACACACACACACACACACACACATATGGAAGTCGCCGGGCAGTTTCAAAGTTGTCACATAATGTTTAGGGACACTGTACACAACTCACACTGTTTGCGTTCACTGCGTCAAAATAAAGGAATGAACAACAAGAATTTACAAGGCACTTCTGACCAAGGTGACGTTAATTTGATTCATTGTCCATGCTTCTTACTCTCCAACATTCATTTCTATTTTCCTCATTTCTACAAACCTCATTGGAAAGCAAAGGTAAAATATAAAAAGTACTATTTCTGGTTTTTACTGTTTTACTAAGTAAATTTTCTTTCTTAATACAGAATAAGACACAAAAACATCAGCATCTGACTTGGAGCATATGTCTGCTTATTGGTTTGCGAATTTGTTAGATAAGGAAAAAAACTACTGTAAAATGTTCACATTCGCAGAAATAACACACAGGTATTTATCCTCTAAAAATCTGAGACGTCTCATATTTCCGAGGTTAGCCAAGCCTGTGTACTCAGGATCTACGGAATGCACCTTTCTCTTTTGACCGCTGTCTGTCCAGAGGTTTCACGTGATTTCCCCAGCCATGAGACAACTTCTCCTTAGGTTTATGTGGTACTCCGAGTTGCAGAAAGAAAAATTTATTCTTATGCATTATATATAAAAAACTAGAAACAGAAGAAAAAATACCCAGAAAGGAAAATGTCCAAATACTTTCCTCACTGCAGTTCAAACAAAGTTCACTCTTAGCAGGATACACAATAAAAATCTCTGGAAGCAAAGATGGTGTATTGCATTGGTGTTTTATTAGCATTCTGTTTAGAGGGCTGTTCTATTATGTCATAATAATGCAGGAATGTCATCCAAAAGACATCCATATCTCACACATAGAAGCAGTCAATGGCAGGCACCTGAAGGAAAAGTAACAAACTTTTGCCCACCTCTTACCTCTGTATACCTCTTTCTTGGAGACTTACCAATCTACGTTGCCAAGAAGCACACATCCACACAGGGTAGTCATTTTGTGCAATGTCATATTGTTCTCCAAATGTTTTCTTCCTTCTTTCTTTCCTTCCTTCCTTCCTTCCTTTCTTCTTTTTTACCTTTCTTTCTTCCAAGATCTTTAGTCCTAAATTGCCTGAAACTCTCTCTGTTTCCCAGGCTGGGTCCAAACTCATAATAATCTCCTTGCCTTGGTTTCTAAAGTGCTAAGGTTATAGACACGAGTCACCATGGTCAATTTATTATTCTTTATTCCACAGAAAATAACAGAGCTGAAAGGAGCTACCTGTAAGTTCTTGGTTAGCAATTCCTTGCCCCCCCCAATAATATTGGCAAGTGACACTTCTCCTAGTTAGGTTTCTATTGCTGTGAAGAGACACCGTGACCACCGTGGCAATTCTAAAGGAAAACATTTAATTGGGGTGACTTATAGTTCAGAGGTCCAGTTTATTAAAGTCATGTCAGGACACGGCAGTTTGCAGGCAGATATGGTCCTGGAGAAGGAGCTGAGAGTCCTACATCTTAATCCAACAGACCACGACATGTGAATGAACTAGACATAGCTTGAGCCTAGGAGACCTCAAACCTTGTCAGCACAGTGACATTATTTCCTCCAACAAGACCATACCTACTCCAGCAAGGTCACACTTCCTAATAGAGCTAATCCCTATGAGTCTATGGGGGCCAAATGCATGCAAGCAACCACAGCACTGCTCCATCCTAAGAATAACAGTTAATCCCCAGTTCTAATCGATCTGAACCCCCTTTTCTATTCTAGCGCCTTTGATTTAACTCAGGTTTTTTTTTCCTTTTGAAGTCAGAATGTAATGGGAGAGATCACACAGTCTTTGCAAATATTCGATAAGTTTAAAATATAAGGACTTCTCAGAACAGTAGGCACTTAATAAAACTCCAAATACCACTGCATTGTTATTTTTATTATTATGCGTCATTATCACTACCACTATTAACCACATTTATACACTAATTCTTCATAAAGAGTACTCTCCAACTCTGTGTCACCACTAACTCTCAATCTTTATTTAATTTCCTTCACCCTTTTATATTCCAGTGGTCTGATTTAACCATGATAATCACCATTTAATTAGATAGAGAATGTGATCGAGCGCCCACTACTTACTAAGACCCATTGCAGATCCGCTAATTCAGTTATCCCAGAAATATTAATTGATCACTTGTAGTATGACAGGCACTGTTTTGACCATTGGGGATCCACCCAAAAACCAAAGACACAAGGTTTCATGAAAGCCACATTAAAGAAGGATTTCCCTTTGAGCATTGTAGACAAGGCCCCTTTCCACTCTACCTTCCTTTCTAGTTGGAAGTGACCAATGACAAATTTCTCAAGCAATTAGCAAACAAATGAGAAAAAAATAACACTATTACTACGTGCTACTGAATTCGTTATCTGTCCACCACTTTGATTACCCTACCTCTCTCCCACTCAGTTAAAACAAGCTGGAAGCTATCCACTTCTCTGCCTCATTTGAGATGTATGTACTTCATAAACAATCCTTTGTTTTTTATCAACATTCCTTCCAAGTCCCTAAATTTCAATTGTATTATTTCCATTCTACCAAGACTGTTCTCTCAATAGTCATTCTTACAGTCCTGCGGGAGTAGGCCGCCCTCATGGTAGTTTCCAATGTGGTTTTGAATAACTGGGATTTTCTTAAAATTACTGTCCCTTCCTCTCTCACCTCCCACCATCCAATGCCCGTTTCCTTGGAGTCCCTTCGTGGACTGTCTTGCTAACAATGGCTCGGTGGACTCTCTTGCAGACTCAGTTTCTTAGCCCCCTGCTCTTAATTGACAACACTATGAAAATGACATACACATTCTCTTCCTCCATCCCTCATCCCTCATCTACAGAGAGCCAGCCATTGGAACAGCATCTCCACTCAGTCCGACAGGTCACGAAATTCTGAATTCCTTCCCAACTTTGTTATCATGCATATAATGGAAGCAAATGTCCGTATCCACTCCTTTCTTTTGTACATTAATCTGAATGGAACCTTCCATAGCTATAACTGGGCCACAAATGTCTCTTGAGATAGGATAACATGGAACAAATAATTCACATAGGCATGGCTTCCCTCTCTCTAATCTTCTTGAGTCCTACAAATTTGTCAAATATTAGGTTGAGTCAGGACCTATAGCTACCTTGTCTCTTTTCCATCACAACTGTTGCCAGGAATCCGGTCAGGTGGCGTAAGGAAAGACGTGAGAGAAATGGAGGAAGAGCCTCATTGGTGCTGGGTCCTGTGAACTGTCGAGAGCATAGGGTCCTGCTCACCCTGGGCTGTTGTTTCCGATGCTTATTTCTCCCTGGGGATCTCAGGAAGGAGGAGCAGCTGTGAGCAGGGAAGTCAAGAATCTCTAGTATTCTTGGTCAGCTGCCAAGTGATGTCACAATTGCGCTGCTCACACGACCAATCGTATCCATCTTCAGTCCTCTATTGGAGCCTTTCTTCCAGGTACTTAACAGAATAAGCCCTGTAGTGAACACCACATCTTAACTGCACCATTCATTATCTGTGTGTGTTTAATCACATGTGTTAACTTTTATGAGCAATCATGTATGAAATGGGGAGGGGTATTGAGTGAATATCAAGAGAGATAAACCACATGCAGACTTTAACACTATTCTTGGCAGACAGTAATTACTAATAATCACAGCTTTTAAATGTAGGTCCCAATATTTCTCCCTTTTCTCACTTGTGCTTAAACTTTGGGTCTTTCTTATAACACTTAAAACACAAAACCATGGATTTGAAGAATAGTTTACTAGTGTCAGAAGTATCTGGATTGTTTATATTAGTTTTGGCTCTAGCAACAAACCTTATCTTCTTTATATTTTACCCTTCTCCCCTGACCTCCAGGAGTGACAACATAGCATCAGTGAACAGCACAGTTATACGATTGGCTAAAATGTCACATAGCAGCAGAACTCAGAATCATACTGTAGTGTCGATGTCTAAACACTACATAATCTGTTTCTCAATCAATTCTTTTTATTTTATTTATTTATTTATTTATTTATTTATAAAAATTTCCACTTCCTCCCCTCCTCCCAATGCCCCCCACTCCCCCCCACTCCCTCTCCTCCTCCCTCTCCAGGCCTAAGAGCAGTCAGGGTTTCCTGCCCTGTGGGAAGTTCAAGTTCCTCCCCCCTCCCTCCAGGTCTAGGAAGGTGAGCATCCAAACAGACTAGGATCCCAGAAAGCCAGTACATGCAGACGAAACAAGTCCCAGTGCCATTATCAATGGCTTCTCAGTCAGCCCCCGTGTCAGCCACATTCAGAGAATCCGGTTTGATCACATGCTCGTTCAGTCCCAGTCCAGCTAGCCTTGGTGAGCTCTCATTAGATCAGTCCCCTTGTATCAGTAGGTGAACGCACCCCTCGCAATCCTGACTTCCTTGTTCATGCTCTCCCTCCTTCTGCTCCTCATTTGGACCTTGGGGGCTCAGTCCAGTGCTCCAATGTGGGTCTCTGTCTCTATCTCCAACCATCGTCGGATGAAGGTTCCCTCTGGTCCTGCCTTTCTTGCTCACGTTCTCCCTCCTTCTGCTTCTCATTTGGACCTAGGGAGTTAAGTCCAGTGTTCCAATGTGGGTCTCTGACTCTATCTCCATCCATCGCCAGAGAAAGGTTCTATGGTGATATGCAAAATCTTCATCAGTATGGTTATGGGCCAAGGCCAGTCCAGGCACCCTCTCCTCTGCTGCCCAGGGAACAATCTGGGGACCTCTCCTTGGACCTGGGAACCCCTCTAGAATCAAGTCTCTTGCAAACCCTAAAATGGCTCCCTTATTTGAGATATATATTTCCCTGCTCCCATATCCATCCTTCCTCCCTCCCCCCCATCTCATTCCCCCAAGCTATCCCCAATCCTCCCCTTCTCCCTTCTCTCTAACCATCTCCCCTTACTTCCACCCCCCACCCCCAGTGTACCCAAGTTTGCCTGGCAATCTTGTCTACTTTCAATATCCAGGAGGATAACTAAATGATTTTCTTCAGGTTCACCTTCCTGTTTAGCTTCTCTAGGATCACAAATTATAGGCTCCAAGACCTTTAATTATGGCTAGCAGACCAGGATGTTTTATCTGTTTTCTTTGGCCCCAGGGGGACACACCCTAAACAGAATGTGATTGGCTGAGCTTCCCCATCAACTGGAGAAAGGAGCACAGATAACTAACAGACCCACACAATGTCAAATTATGATGCAATAACTATTTCATTGAAGGCGTATTTATAATCCAAAGAACATAATTAAAGTTTGGCAAAGTATTTTAGACAACCCCTAAGACAGTAGCCTCCTGTAAACACACGCAGGTACTTATCAGAAGGGAGCATGAGGCAGGTAAGTTTCAATGATTTCTCCTTTTGCTTTTCTTTCATTTGCCAATCCCTGCAAGCTTGGAAACTGTGCCATATTTTAAAAGACCATTGTTCCTGATTCCCTGTGCTTCCCTCCTACCCTTTAGGAGAGCGGGGGAAACCAGAGCTCATTCCCTTTAACCACCATCACGCTGCAATTACAGGGGAAAGAAACGCATTTCTGCTTTCAGAGAACAAGGTGTTATTATTTTTAATGTTGTTATTTGGGCAATTTGTTTTCCTCTTCAGTCCTTAATCAAACTTTAATCAAACTGTGAGCCCAGAGCAGAGTTTTCCAAAGAAAAATGGCCAAATTCAAAGACACAATCATAGTTGCTAGGTGAGTAACTCCACTTGCTTGCTCAACAGATTGTGAGCCCCGATAGTACATCAGGCCTCAACTTCCTTCCTGTGGCTTGACTGCGAAGAGGAGCAATGCAATCTGAGGCTGTGTACACATGCACATCCGTCACCGCCAGGGAAGAACGCCTCAATGTTGCCCTTAGGAGGCATCATCTAGCGTGAAATACAGCGTGTTCCTCTGGCCCTAACAAATCAGGAAAGTCCTATCAAAGGGGAAGAACCCAGAGCAGAGCGGAGAGTGTGGATGGAGGAAGGAGAAAAAAAAAAAAAACTTCGAAAACGGGGTGGCAACGACTAAAGCGAACGGAAAACATTTGTGGAACTGGGGAGGAGCACACAGGAAGGAGAGAGAGGGATTGTTTGGGGTGCTTAAAAGCGGAATAACAGCAGTGATGAGATGAAATTGAGCAAAGGAAAGCTTGGGTCGCACAACGAGGAAGCGTTTGCTAACGGCGAGCCTATTAGACTGCCAAATGGCCTCTCATGGGAAGATGTTTGGGCTCCATTGCCTGGGCCATTTAAAACCAGACCGGACAAAAGCTTTCAAGAAAACGTTGTGGGGGGCAAGTCTGCCCTGGCAGGGGAGAGACAAGATGACCTACCAGCGCTTGTTCCTGGACTCTAATTTCTGTGATATATAACATCATAACATCACATCATTACGCCGCCTCCAAACGGGCAGCTTCTTGAGCCGAGGTTATAATGAGAGTGGATTACTTAGCCTGCCACGTACTCCAGGGGAGGCAAGCTGTGGCCCAACCTGTAAACCACAGCTCATTAGCCAACAGCTACCCAAATGATTCTCCGTAGCTCTGGCCTAATTCACATTAGAAATTGGGGTATTTTCCTGACAGGCCCGATGAAAGCTTCGGTTCCCAGGGTTTCATAGGCTGGTTTTCCAGGAGCTACGAGTCCTACGTCTTTTTTAAACTTTGATTTTTATCTCCACGGTGACGGTAGGGAAGGGGAGCAGTAAAAAGAAGCGAGCAAACTGCCTTGGTGCGGGTTGTGATACAGAAAGCACAGGCAAAGAGAAGCGGTCACACAGGAGACCAAACCTTTTTGATAGAAATAAAGACTCCAGACCACTGGTTGCCTTTGGGATCCCAATGGTGGCTGCAACTCTACATAAAACTAATTGGTGGTGGCAAAACCAGCGCCTGCTAGAGTCTCCATTACAGGACCTTTATTTCAGACTATCACTCTGTCCTCAGATATGAAACATACAAAAAATTTTAAAAATTAAAAAAAAATGGGAATCTCATTTTAAAAACTGCGTGTCTTGGAGCTGGAAAGATAGGTCAGCAGTTAAGAGCCAGGCTCAGTGGCTCACAATCACTTCTAACTCCAGCACCCTCCTCAGGCCTCCCTGCCTACCCACCTGTGATACAACTGCCTAAGGCAATGCCTTCCTTCCTGTTCTGACTCCACTTTGGGTCTGCCCTCTGCCCCACTCCAGAGCAGTCTTGTCTGCTTTGGCAACACACTTGAGATTCCCTAACTGTGGGTCGAACATACTAACCAGAATAACTGGCAAGTTAAGTCTAAAATAATTACTATGTCCTGGCAGGAATGGATAATTCAAGGTTGTTCTAACTCTCATCTGACTCTGATATGTCTTTGTGGGTTATTAAAACTCTGTGTGAACCAGCTTGGGTGTAAAGAGACAGTTCAGAGCCAGAAGCTCACTCTTGGTATGAGCATCAGTGAAAAGAACCTAAAACTTTTAATGGACTAAACCAGTGTGGTTGTCGATAATCATCTCCTGTGTGTCTTTTCAGTGGCACAAACATAGAGAAAGACACACATACACACACAACAACAACAAATGGGCATATCAAATATCTACAAGTTCGCTGTTATATTTTACCTGTGTATCTCATGCCAATCTGTCTCAGCATGATAAAGTTACACTTCAAATATGGTTTTCTGTAACTTGTAATCACTTACCAGTCTGGAGCATTATTTTATGATGTCCTTTTCATCTTGTTGGCACCACTGCCTGGCTCATCAGGATGGTTATTTAATTTATGAATGACTCTCCCTCCCTCCCTCAGAGAGTATTCTGTACCATGAAAATTGCTAAACCCATTTAACGCTTTCCTGGGCCTTCTTTTTCGTCCTACAATTTCTCAAGCCTCATAACTGATTCTGGCTCTAGGGTCGATTCAATTGCACTGTATTATTGATCTCTTATTTTATGCTTTGCAAAATTTTCGCTGCGCCATTTCAATAATTTATCCGCCATTCAGCAAATATTTAAGTGAGCAAGGAAGAAGCCAGGTACCATGTTGGGACTTAGAACTACAAGAAAACTGTCTCCACGGCCCAACTTGGAAAATAGAAAAGATGAGCAAATATAAAAATATAGCAGGCAAGCACCTTAAGCAAAAGTAAAAAGTTACTATGGGAATATGAAAAGAAAGAACTGAGTCTACAGAGGCACAGTGAGAGCCCAAATGTTTGGTTTTGCTTACTTGTGTGCACATGTATATGCAACTATACTTATATGATGTACACACACACACACACACACACACACAGACACACACAGACACACACATATGGAGGTCAGAGGATAGCCTTGGTTATCTTTTC